TTCTCTCCCTTCCGTTACTCTTCTCACCGTTACTCTCCCTTCCATGACTCTCCTTACCATGACTCTCCCTTCCATTACTCTTCTTACCATGACTCTCCTTACCATTACTCTCCTTACCATGACTGTCTTCGCATGCTGACGATCCCAGTCCAATGCCCCAACGAAAAGTGCCGCAATGACCAGGCCTACTGGTACCAGCTGCAGATTCGCAGCGCCGACGAGCCCATGACTGCTTTCTACAAGTGCACAAAGTGCGCCAAGGAGTGGCGCGAATAGACTGCGAGACCTGCATAAACCGAGTCTGAGAGCAGGAGCGCGGCGTTGATTGGAAATACCCCGCGAGTCCATCACGTCAAGGAGCTGCATACACCGACTTTGAGGAGCAGAAACGCCGCATCGATTGAAACAACCCGCTTGTCCAACTCCGCAACACAACAACAACAACACCACATTTACTCCCATTCATCCCGTCTTGATCATATATCATTACCCTCCTGCTGTCACAACTCTTGTAAGATGCCCTACTCCGCTCTCTCGGCTCCTTCATGGCTGACTCCAAACAGCGGCACAGGCACACCTTCTCCCACACCTCCGACCCCCTGTCCCGCAGCGTGAAGCCCTCCATCCCCTCCAGGCCGCGGACTCCCCATTGCCGGCGTGTTGCTCGGCCACGCCCACAAAGCATCAAAATCAATGTGTTCATCCAGCCCACTCTCTTCACTATGCAGGCTAGGCACCCGCGTGCTGTCAAGAGCGCTCAGGTCGAGAATCGTGCTCAGACTCGGAGCCATAGATGGCGTGTTCAGCGCCGACACTCCAGTATTGTACGACTCCGAGTCGGGTCCACTGTTGGGCGGCTCATGCATCGGACTCAGATGTACAGAGAAATCCGTTTGCCGCGGCGAGAGCTGCTTCACGTTCGGAACCGAGTTGGCGTGCCCAAGGTGCGGCGGCTGGAAAGCCGCCGGGCTGGCATCGAGAGGTGCTGTCTGCATGCCGGGGTAGATGTGGATAGGGACTTGGTGAAGTCGCGGTGTTGCATTCATACCATCTGTCGAGTCCGCGAGATTCGCATTCGGGACATGTGCATTTTGCTGAGTGGGTGCAGCAGCCCCGTAGAGTTGTGAGGATATGCTGGGCAGGCTGATGTTGTCGGCTTGACTCTGCTTGCGACGCACGCGTTGCTGGGCTACAACGTCACGAAAAGTGCTGAGAATATAGACAAGGCGGCTGGCCTGTTGATCGCTCTCAGCACAGTAGTTCATGATGTTGACTGCGTTCAGGATACACGTGTCCGACGCATCTACCCGGTATAGCCCGGCGAACTCGTTAGCAAGTATAACCAGCGTAGCTGCAAAAAGGAAGTAGATGACTGCAGGATTTCGTCGCGACAAGTACCCAGCATCAAACGCATTGTGTACAAGGAGAATCGTGTGTGTTGATGCGATGACACACGCTTCGCTGAACTTCTCCATGCGAAGGTATGGCCTCGGTCCTCTGATCCTGGGCTGTGTTTGATTGACGTGACGTTGTGTTTCCAAATTAAGGATATAGAGAAAGAACGGTCGCGTCAGCAGAATGATCGAGTGGCAGTAGAACAAATTGACGTGTAGTATCGCCACACCTTGACTGGGTGATGCGCTCGCTGCTTGTCTCCAATGCAAGATCGAAGGCAGAGCCCGCGGCCACGATTTACAGATGTCGGCAATCTCTTGCGCCAGACGTGTACTGATCTTGCGTTGCTGGTACACTTTGCGCAGAATAACGCCTATCACCGAGCAGCTGCGTACCGCAGCATCTAGAGCACATGGTCCCGTCTCGTTGAAGCCAGGCGCCGGGTTGATCATGAACGGCTGCTCCAGTGGCGGGTCAGATGAATGGAGCGCATCCCCTGAGCAGTCGTCTTCCGAGATCGCGGTAGGTCGGCCAAGCGAGCAGGAGAGCAGTCGGTCAACGACGAAGATCGATCTCCACATGTTTTTCCGTTGTGTCTGCTCCACTGCACTGAATATCACCATCGTTTCTTCTCGGTGCAGCCCGAGTGCGTGTGCAGAGCGAGCTGCCATACCGAGCAGAGCAAATGCCGTGTTCCGCTTGGATTTCGCAAGCATGTAGACGGACATGAGCAACAACGCTTGCACAGACCAAAAGTCCTGGTCTTCGAGCCCGTTCATAGGGTCGTTCAACGATTTCGCATTCAAATAGAACACCTCTGCTCGATCAAGATGCTCACTGCGTAGCTTGTCAATCATGAGAGCCTCAGGACTTCCGGACAGGGGGGTTGCCATAGTGAGTCCAATGGCAAAGACCATGTTCAAGAGGCAGAGCCATGGAGGCTGGACTTGGAACGGGTCAGCATAACATCCCTCCATTTCTTCCAGGAATCGATCACGGTCCAAGACTTGTAGTAGTCCGTGAGTGTTGATAAAGAAAGCATCTGCAAGCACACGAGCAGTCTGCATGTCAGGAAGCAGATGAGTATGCCTGTAGCCAGGTGGTAGTGAGTACTGTCCTTCGACTATCTTATGCCGTCGAGGATCGTTGGTAAATGCTGAGTCTCCTGTCACAGTCTCCACCATCATGCGTAGAAGTTGAAGGAATGACAGAGTCGCCGAGTCCCCGATGTAGAGAACTCTGCCAGTCGGGTCCTGCAACATTCGACTTTGACTGTAGATGATCGCTTCTTCCTCAGGTCCGCTTCCAACGGTTGTTCCTCGCGAACGGGCTGGCAAATGCTCGCCATTGGCATTGCTGGTTGGGAGCTGATGGAAAGCGCCAATCTCGACGCTTGGTCGAGCCCCAGAAGATTTGAATGGCGTCTCATTTTTCAGGGGATGCAAGCGCCCATCCTGTGCTTTTGAATTTGGACGATTGGCAGCAGAAGACTTTCGCCTCACCGGAGCTAGGGGCGAAGGTTGATGATTACCGTTGCTGGGGGTGTTTGACATGGAGTTGTCGTCAGCGTATGGGCTATCAAGTTCTCCGTCGCCGACCGCTCGCCTCTTAGCTGGCGGGCCGCCATCGTTAGGGGAGCCAGGCTCGCGATCAGCATAGATGCAACTGAAGTTTCGCTGCTGTTGTAAGCGTCTGTGAAGGGTGGGAAAGGAACCACAGTGACGAAGCCGACAAAACACGTGTCAGCCTCCGCAGGGCAAAAGCCGCGCCCCAATGGTGTGGCACATGATGTTCTTAATGTACGTACCTTTTCGCAGGTGTTGCATGGACAAAGACCGTTGCACTTGTCGGGGTGTCAGCTTGGACCCACTTTGCAGTGACATTCGACTTTGGGCCGGTGCCCTCAACAACAACACATTCTGCAGTTGACGAACTTGAGGAACGCGAACGGAGACTCGGGCTTCAATTGAGAGCACGGTAATGAGCCATTCGCGAAAGGATGCGATCGCGTAGCGAGGCTGCAGTGCAGGGGTGGTGACGGCTCTGCTTACCTTCTGTTTTCTCCTCTTGCAGCTGTCGCACGCCTGGGCAGTACGTTGCCGCTGTTCTGCAGACAACCATCTCAGTATCTATTCAGCAATTGCACCGAGGACGCGCGAACTGACCAGGAGGTACCTTGGGGCGCGTCATTGGTCCGCGGCTATGAGCATGCGAACCTTACACGATCATCACGTGAATTTTTGATGCTGGACGATGCTTCGGATGGATGAAGTGAGTGTCGGATGAGGGACGACGAATTGAGTAGGGCAGAAAGATCGCACAAGCAGCCCCGTAACGCGTACCTTCCCCTCAAAGATGACGAAGAGGGGTACTGCAACCCTGACCGAGCTTGCTGCGTTAGGCGAATCGTCGATGCCAGAGACAAACGCAGGCAGGCGTCTTTGTGGTCGTGAACCGCATCCTGGGCAGCTGGGACCTGGGCCCGTGCACGCTCCTGCCGAGGTCGGGTGATCCAGACACCTCACCACGTCGCAGAGCGAGCCTGACCGGACACTTGTGTGCAGCCGTTGCACGCAGGGTGCGGCTAGCATCCGAAGCGCCTTACCGCTAAATGCATGTTCATCCTCCGCTAAGTAAAAGCGTCGGAAAGCTCGCAACGGCTTCCCTCACGCCAAAGCGAGTCCGGGTGCCCTCTCTTTAACACCTACTAAGCTCTCGTTTCCTTGACTTGACTTTCAGTGCTTCACTAATATCAATTGGCTGAGATCATGACACCTTATCTTGGATCTGATGCCAACGGAACCAACGGAACCACAGAACTCTTCAACCTGCTTGACGGCACAAAGTCAGCTCTCGAGCAATTGCTGGCAAAAGCAAAGGACCATCTCCCACGAGAAGCTCTGCCGCACATCTCGAGAATCCATTTCTCAACGGCCAACACTGGCAGCCCATACTTTCCTAGTCCGCTCAAGCAAACAGAGGCTATCACAGCACTGAAGGCAGTCGAGGCAGGCGTTGCTTCCGCCATCGCCGATCTCAAAGATGGACTATCTACACGAAGCATCGATGTCGATCTAGAGAGGGCCACAGCGTTCTTGTTCTCGACGTATCTGGCCACTGTTGGTGGTATGGATAAGGCGAACCCAAAGGTGAAGAAGCTCTTGAAAAGTAGGTCAGATCCAGCGTGTTGTCTCGCTGCAATCAGCTAATTGTACAGATACCGATCTGCTACAAGCACAGGATATTCAGTACCGCAGACTTTCAGCAAACCTGTACGAGACCAAGAATGCTGGGGAGTACTTCCACCTCCATGGCTCCCTGGAGGCGACCAAAGCACTAAACATGGTTGGTCTAGAAGGCCACCGCCCCGATCTCACCGAATACCATGAGTGCATCAAGGTTATCGAGGACCACGTCAAGCAGTTCACTGTCGATCAACTTGAGGAGATGAACGCCCAGATTAAGCAAGCAGGCGTGACTTGTTTGAAGTGGGAGGATTTCAGGGCAACAGAGCATGGTCAGACACTCCTACAGCAACCGCCATGGAAAGTCGAGACATTAGAGACTGAGACGCCACTTACACCATTGCCCTTCACGCCATCAGCCGCACCAAAGCCCCAGATTCTCGCTGGAATCAGAGTCCTCGAGCTCTGCAGAATCATTGCAGGCCCAGCCATGGGTCGTGGACTCGCCGAGTACGGAGCCGAAGTAATCAAGGTCACAGCACCTCATCTCTCGGACGTTCCATTCTTCCAGGTTGATGCCAACATTGGTAAGCACACAGTAGACCTGAACCTGAAGGAGGCAAAAGATCGCGAGGCGTTCGAGAAATTGCTCAAAACAGCAGATGTCGTCCTCGATGGCTACCGACCCGGTAGTCTCAACCGCCTCGGCTATGGACCCTTGCAACTACAAGATATTGCCAAGCGACGTGGTCGTGGATTTGTTTATGCCGCTGAAAACTGCTTTGGACACGTTGGGCCTTGGGCTCACCGACCTGGCTGGCAGCAGATTGCAGACTGTGTCTCGGGTGTTGCTTGGGCGCAGGGTCATGCCATGGGTTTGCAAGAGCCTGTTGTACCACCTTTTCCCATGAGCGACTACGGCACTGGATGTATGGGCACCATTGCCGTGATGGTCGGCCTCTTTAATCGAGCAAAATTTGGCGGCAGCTATATTGGCACCACATCCCTCGTCCAGTACGATATCTACCTTCTGCAGCTCGGTCTGTACGATGACAAGATGATGGCCGAATTAAGAAAGGAGCACGATGCTCAGTTCTTTGAGCTGAGGCACCACGACTCAGTAGACGAGGTTGGCAAGCGAGCATTGAAAACGATGAGAAGAACACACCCCGAGCTCTTCGAACCCCGACACATGCAGGCATGCTTCAGCAAGAGCTTCAATGCAGAGGTCCGAACGATCAGACCTGTCGTCGATATTGGGGGCTACTGGAATGGATTCTTGCGTGCCTCGAGAACCAACGGCTACGACAAGCCCAGCTGGGATGATTGGGAGGTGGATGAGGATTTGCTGAAGCCGTAAAGGCGCAGCAGTTTCTCTCGGCTTTCTATACCTGTTCAGCATACTGAGTGCGCTACGATATCATGACCATATAGCATCTGCTCAATGATTACTATCAAATACACAGATCCAGTACTTCGTTTCTCAGTGACGCTTTCTCCGTCTCGGTACAATTCTCCTGCCGTCGATTCCTCCGCGATACGAGTCAGCCGCCCCACATTCCCCACAGTCTGGAACCCGAATCACCGTCACACCAAGTGCAGCTTCCGATATTCTGCTAGGTAATCCAGCCTTGATTCTAGTATCAACAGCTTACACACACACACCTCTACACGATGCCTAGTTCCGTAGCAACATACTGCCGTGTCACTCGTCGCCATCACTCGGACAACCCCTCGTCGTGTTGTGTCATTGCATCGGTTCTTACGTTTCGCAATTCACCTGCGGAGTGAGGTAGCGAGGGCAAAGCGAGGAGTCCAAGTGTCCCGTACGACCATGTACGAAGTGTTGCTGCTGCCAAGACTGTACGTTTAGTACGACTGATGAGCGTCGTTCCGGTGCATGTGCATGCTCTAAGCCGAAAGCGCGTTTTCGCTACCAGCGCTAGCGGATAAGGCACGGCTACGGCTGTCGACCGAGGGGACTTTGCCCAAGGCGGAATCTGACGATGGGGGTCCACAGGTGTTAGTGTAAGGCGGGACTCGCATTGCGCGGTCGTCTAAGGCCCATGCTTCGTTGTTGTTGCTTCATTGAATGACTTTGTCGATGTAGACCTGCTAAAGGACGTGCATGTGCATGAATGCCACTCTATTCGTATCCGTTCTATGCCAGCTACACGATCTATAAAAGTCTATATCCGGGTATATGATGAACGCCAAAGGTATGCCAGGGACTCTACCATGAGTGAAATAGACTGAAGTCGTATACAGGATTGCCGAATTCATCAACACCAACGAACCCAAAATCCGCCGACGCAGTGTCTACGTTTTGACCTGAAGCTGGAGCTAACACTGGATCAAATGTGTCAATGGGGTTGCCGTACATGCAGAACGGGCCAATATTGATGTCCGGGATGGTGGTGGGAACGGACATAAACGTGGTTGTAGGCGTCGGCAGCGGTTGATGTTGCGCAGAGTCGATGTGAGCATGACTTGTGGGAGGGGATCGATAGTTTGAAGGCCCTGCGAATGTCGCGCCCATAGCAGTAAGATCCTCCAGAGCAATTGACTTATGAGGCTCGATCTGCTCCAGCGGTAGTGTCGACTGAGGCACACACTTCTCGCGCCAGTGTGTCATTGTCAACCCCGCCTTGAAGTGAGTGGCAATGTGAGTTGCTCTTGCGTCCCAAGTGGAAAGGACCTCATGGCAGAAACCACAGGTCCAGGTCTTGTTGTCTGTCATTCCAGGGCCATCCTTACGCCACGCGTCTCGTATCAGCTCGGACAAGGGCTTCTCGCATTTGTGAAAATTTCTTGCGTGTTGCTGAAGGTGGTCCGGTCGACCGAATGTCCGCTCATTTTCAGGCTTGCACATGCACTCCCCGATGCGGTGAAAGAGTCGGAAATGGTCGTCATCGGGATTCTCGAGGTCGCAGAAAGCGCAGATGGTCGAAGAAATGTTTGCGGGCGCAACTCTGGGGCCGAAGGCAAGGCAGGTCCACTGAGATTTGGGATGGTGTTGTGTTTCTTCGTGTCGACGCCAGGACTTTGCTGTAAGAGAGACGCCGCAGAACGTGCATTGCCAATTGTCTGCTTCCCCGGAGGAGTAATCTGAAATTGAGGCGCAAGGCGAAAGTCGTGACGGAGATAGAAATCCCTCAATTGGCGATGCGCCATTGCTACGACCATAATCCTTCTTCTTTCCCTTTCTTGAAGCTTGGGCAGGAGTCTGGTCATGACCTATTCCGCCTCGCCCGTTGTTCTTTTGCGATTTGAGTTGCCGTTGGCGCGTATTGGTAAACCATGTGGTGACTTGTTTAAGGGTGATACTGCATGCTTCTGCTAGCGCGTGCTTTGTTTCGGCGGATGGGTACGGATGATGTCGATTTGCGTCGAGCCAGGCCGTGAGACACTTTATAGCCTGCGATGGGAGCTTGCTGGTGGTTCTTCTGGCATGTGAACGTCTCACCTCGCTTGGCGACGTTGGCGAAATAGGCTCGGGTGAGGAGGGATTTGAGATATTGGTACAAAGACTCAAGTGCGGTGTGGCAGGTGGGTCACTACGTTCTTCTTTCTTGATGAAGACGTAGTCACCGCGCTGTAGCTCTGAAACATCTCTGATGCCCAGTTCGATGATTTGTTGGCGTTGTTGTTGTTGTTGTGCTGGACCGCCGACAGTAGTGTCAAGTACATCGAGCTGACAGTGTTCAGTTCATGATCGCAATTACTAGTGCCCATGACCAATACTTACAATAGTACCATGTTTGATGTCTTCGTATATGCAGGAGCCATAGCTGGAGTCAATAGACCGGGTGCTCGAAGCTCGACTGTTCTCCTTGAATGGGATGTTGTTCGGCGATAACATCATGTTGGAGCTTGAGCGGAGCCGAGTTGCCGATCAATGAACGTTTTGGTGTCGCAAAATGTTCGAGTCCTCAGGTGTCGAACTCTTTGTGATGAGGCGCGATTTCAAAGAAGCCGCCATCATTACATATTCATACATCGCAATCACTACGCGCCGCATCCTGCTGCATGGGAGCGATGAATGTCGTGGCTGTTCTTCTGCCATACTTCGAGCCCATGTTCACGACTGTGGCTGGTGCGAAGTGATTGGCTCTAAAACCAGAGAAGCGGTCAGTTCGTGCTGGAGTTCCTGCTGCGCCCCAAGCCATCAGCGGGCGCATTACTGGCGCGGTAGCGTGGGGTCCAAGACCTTTCCCGTGATGGCACGCTTGTGGCTTGTTCCTAACGAATCGACATCATTCTCGCAGTAATCGTGGCAGTGCAGCAATGCGGTGCACTGGTCATGCGTTCTGGCGGTGTTCGCATGTTGCTTGCAAGCCAAAGATGCACCATTTGATGTGCTCTGGAAGCTAGCGTCATGCATTACCTCCGTCTATTGTCGACGTCATGTTGTTTGATGATTAGGTCAATGGTGTTGAGATGCGGCTTTGGTGCGCGCGTGCCGCTCGGCCACGGCATGATGTTAAGAGCAAGCTGAACAGACTGCACCGTTTGCAAGATCAGGAAAATGGAAATGACACAGTGTACATGGGCAGAGCTTGTTTGGAGAAGGATTGAATTGCTGGGAGAAACGGGGGAGCAACGATAATTCGATTGCAAGAGCCGAAAGGAGTGGGGCAGGGTAGCTCACTAACTACCTAGGTAACGGGACGCTATGGGCAGCAAGAGCTTCAATCAATCCACGGATGTACATCTTCCATGTTCCTTTGTGAAACTCAGTATCTTTCTCAATTCAATTTGCTGGTAATGATGTCGCACCATTTGGGCATTGGTTTGATGTAAACACTGTGCAGAGTAGCTTCATACATCAAACCAAATGCATGTTCTAATCTCGCTTATCGCTCCGTGGAAGCAAGTAGTCTCCAGCGACTTCGCTCCATTCGCGATCATCGAAAGGACACCAATACTTCGGCGGAATTGGATCATGCACTCCTTTGTAGTGTAGAGAAAAGTCTGCCCAACGCACAAAGCTGGTATTCTCGCATCCAGGAAGACAACATTTGAATACCATCGAGTCTGCCACTTCGGAGATGTGTACCGTACAAATCGTACCAATTTCTTTTGTTTACAATTGTTCGGTGGCGCTGTGTCGTCTATTTCCAGGACTCGAGGTGTAACTCCATCCAGTATGCGGCGGTGACGCATTTCCGAATTGTAAGTCTCTGTTTCATGTCCGCACGTATGCACAATTTTCTGGCAGAAATGGGTGGCGTAACTGGCTTGCGGATTATCCAAAGGCCTCAAATGGCGCTTCATCCGCTTTTTTAGGGCGACTGAGCTCAAGATGCTTCATTGTCGATACTGTATAGCATTCACGTATGTGACAAGATGCACTTTGGGTGGCGCATACCCAACTCCACTACGTTTTAAACTTGAAACGGAACAAGGGAGGCATAACCAGTGGGAATATCCAGTTGAGACTTGAAGTTTGGAATTATGATGAGCCCGGTAGAGTCCTCGGTCTCAAGGTCGGTCCAATAGCTCCGGCGTGGTAGACCATTTCCTAACCTGTGAGATATAGAGTGCGGATCCATACCCTGATAAGACATCGAGCCTCTTTCAGGAGCTGTGCCGCAACCGGTAATCGTGACTCGGTGGTTGCGGAATGTGCAATTGTACATGATTAACTGTCAAAGATGTTGCGTATATATGATACAAGACTTGCGGTTTGATCAGATCTGGAGAAAAACAATGACAAAGGCTGACAGGGCAAGTTGGTTTTTTGAATGCAGATGTTCCAGCTTGTTGTCGCACACCACTTTGCCCTTCGCCCAAAACCCTGGCTTCCAGGCATATTTTGTTGTCAGGTTGCTGCAAGTACGTGATGAATACGTGGTGTTGGGCAAAACTTGGATGCAGAGGCCGCGCGTCACTGATGGCGCTCAGTGCCGCAAAATGCTTTACCTCCAGCATGATCGCAAGGGCCTGACAGGAGTTAGGACATTTCAGAGGAATAAGTCTCGTCGAAGTGACAACTGCTATGACCGGGAATCGCTCTACGTGCCATGGTTGTACCTGAATTAGCGGTGCAAGCTGGATATCCGGCAAAAGGGCATGATCATCAGGAGTAACTCATTACCTCTTTACAGTGCCGATAAATTTGAAGGTGCTCGTGGCCATGCGGCCTTCGTAAAGCATGCAAGTCAAACAGAGAGGACCACGTAGATGCATCGTAGACTCAAGTCATTGGCTTGCCAGGACCTGGTCTCCCTGAGAATTCATATGGGTATCGTCGTTCGTAATGCCTCAAGGTGACATGCTTGTGGAGCTTTGCTCATGTAGTTGCCATGGGGGACGTTGTCGCAGCCCAACAGCCATCACCAGTACTGCTCTATTGCATCTCCACCTCGACCTCCCCCCTTCTGTCCTTACTCCCGCTCCGACTCCGCTCTTTCTCATGATGTGCACCCGAATCGGTACTCGGTCTCGCTGACGGTCTGCTCGAGTCTGTGCTTGGTCTGGGGCTGATGCTGCCGATACCTAATCTTCCGATGCCGGCAACAAGACCTTGCTTGAGATCTTGTCCCAATGCTGCTGCGGCATCGAATGGTGTTGGCGAAGTTGCTGAGACGCTACTGGAGCGTTCTCCTATGGCGTGTGTGGGAGGTAGATCAGCAGTCGTGCCTGCACCAGTTGCGTTCTCGGCCGTCTCGGTGCCAGTCACGATAGCCTCATTCCGTAGTGGTGTATTTGCTCCGCTTCTACCGTTCGATACATTGCTAGTCTGAGATGTGAGGCTTGGAGGTAGCTGAGGACCGTACAAGTTCATCTCATCATCTGTACGTCCAAAACACTCGGCCCACCATCTAGCCTCACCCTTGCGTGGGAAGATCATATGCTCCTTGCCTCGTACCGAGTCGTCGATTTCAGGGTCGTATTTTGGGTTCATAAACTCTTGCTTACGGCAGAGGAAGTAGTCCCATACACTCCTTGTACGCTCTTTTGCTCTAGCCTCCATACGCTCCTTCTCATTGTCGAAGAGGAAGGTGCCGTACTGACACGAGTGAAGGTGGTAAAGCAGACGCCGTAAGAAACGTTCGCTGAATTCGAAGCGTGTGGGATGCTGATACTGGAGTTGGTAGACGCAGTCGAGAAACTGATGGAAGACCGGCGACAGCTCGTTGACCTTGGTAATACGGTGTTCCTCAGCAGCGCCAATCTTGCTAGATGGCTTGGTCGTCGCCGCGTCCGATACATCTCCCACGTGCTCTGTGCTGTTCGTCTCCGGTAGTTGGTTCAAAGACTCACTGGACTCGTTACCTCGATTGAAGAAGCCTTTTGCTCCACGTAGAGCATTCTCGAATGCGTTACCGCCACCTTGTCCATCGTTCTTGCGTTCGATGCGCTCATTCTCGATTGAAAACCACTTCTCGTGACTGAGGAAGCCAGTCCGGTGCCGGAACATGTGGCCGAATGAGAGCCAATCCTTCTCCACAAGCACAATGAAGCCCTCCATTGTTCGGTAGTAAGGGTCGAGCAGTATTTGGCTCAGAGCGCTAAGCTGGCTTGTGCGGTCCCATCCGTCTGAGCAGTGGATGAGAGCGTGTGAATGCATGATGCCAACCCTACGTGCAATCAGTGCTACGCCGTCCAGGATGTTTGCTGTATGCTTGACCCAGCCGCTCTTAGCCAACAGCTGCTGATTAGGTGGGAACGATGTCAGATCTGACTCCTTCAAGGCATCGATAACCGTGTTCAACGACTTCCGCATAACGTGGATGTTGTCGATTCCAAGGTACGCTTTTTCAGCACCTGGATAGTGATCCATCTTTTCGGAGCCCAGTCCAACAGCTTGCATCGCGTATGCATTAACAGTCGGTCGCGCATCGACAATGAGGTTTCGTTGTTGCGCGCCATAGACCTTGGGTCCGTTCTCGTCAGACTCAGCAGATCCGCTCAGGTCGTCCACGATAGTCCTCCCCGTGCTGGCAGCTTCAGCGTCCACTACACCCACAAATGAGCTCTCAGTGCTGGAATCGTTCTCGATTGTCAGATCGGCCGTGGACCGAGCAGTGTCCGGCGTTGGTGCAGGGTTCCAGCCACGATTTGTAGCCCATATAGCTGCCACAAGCCTTTCGTCCTGTGGGTTGCGATTTCCCGTGATACCCGGCGTGGGCTGTGAGCTTCGTGTTATCGAGCAATTGTTGAGCGGGTGGCGGTAGACGAGGGCAGGTATGCGTTGTCTCGAGCGGTATGCGCCGGCGTACCGCAGAACACTGTCTGAGACTTTTGAAGGTACGGCGATGAGAGCGGGGTATGTCTTCGAGTACTGTACTTCTCATCAGGATTGCGCTCTATCCACCTCTAGGCAGCACTACGAATCCGTACCTTGTATTCAACGTTGATTTCAGATATACGCCAGCCCTTCTCTGTATCTTTGGGGCTTATCCCCAAGCGCTTGAACTCTCGTCGTGCGTCGTAGATGTCCCAACTGTTGAACTGATCCTCCGGAGGTTTCGGCTGGTAGCTGAATGCTAGCAGTTTGTCCAGACGCGCTATCTTACAAGACAGGGCGCGAATGCTATCGTATACGTCGCGAGCTTTCTTCTCGTCTGGGAAGAAGAAGGCGAAGAAGGTGAAGTCGCGGCACCGTATGCGGATCGACGGCTGCTGGCGCATAACGGGTGGACATGACTTCAGACAACAGTAGTTGATCATTGGATAGGTGATCCATACTTCTTTCTGGCGGGCCGGTTTCGCGTCTGGCGGCGCGTCGGCGGGCGTGCTTGGTAGGTAGCTGAAAACGATGTGGTGGGGCATCAGGTGGAGGGTGCCGTCGAAGCGTGTGCCTCTGCGCAGAAGGTATACATCTTCGACCTGGTACTGTCAGCTGTACGCACTTGGTATAAGTACTTCTTCCACTTGCCTTACTAACGCGTATCCTCTCCATGGCCGGCAAGCTCGCGTGTCACAGTCGTCCAAGCGACTGCCTGCAAGGTGAGGGTCTGAAGTGAGCTCGTCGCGGGGTACAAGTGCTGAGGGTATTACAAGATTATCTAAGAGAGGTGAGAAACAAAGGAGCCTAGTGCGCAAGAGCCGTCAGTGGGTTAGTGTGAAGGCCGGCATGTTTGGTTTGTGGGGGAGATCGTCCGCATGTGCCCGGTGTTCATGCGCAGGGATGTCTTGGCACCCACAACATAACGTCACTGGGGCTTGCAGCTTCAATAGGCATCTAACTCAAACCTCACGCATCATCTTTGAGAAAGTGGATGCCTGGAGTCGGCGATAAAAATTGATATGGAGAGGTAGAACTATAGTCAAAAGCTACGAGGATTCCAGTGTCGCCAAGCGGCGCCAGAGGGCAATGCTTGCTAGAAGAAAATTGTTCGGCGTTTGGGTGTATCCAATAATATGCTTACCTACAGCCAAACAAAAAGGTCTCAAACTACTCGATTATTTGCTGTCCTGCTCATGACAAGAAGCTACGCTTTGAGAGTTACGTGAGATTGTAAGGATTGCTTTTGTATCAGAAAGACCCAACCACCAAAACCGCAGGTATTGCTACGTCTACCAAAGCTCGCAAGCATTCACTGTGGGGGAGGAGGTGGGGGAGGAGCATCGCCAGGCGGGGGAGGAGGAGCATCGCCCGGAGGCGGGGGAGGAGGCACTGAGCCCGATTGGGGAGGTGGAGGGGGAGGTGGGCTTCCAGCAGATCCGTAAGTCTGGAAAAGGGGACCCAAACCAGGAGGAGGGCCAGCAGCAGCCGCCGCAGGAGCGCCGTAGCCTGGAGCACCGTATCCGGGAGCGCCATAGCCGGCCGCTGCAGCATTGGGATCGTACCCAGCTCCGTAGTTCCCGTAGCCATACGAAGCTCCAGCAGCTGGTGCAGCTGGTGCCCAAGGTGCAGCGCCGCTGTTGCCGTAGCCGCCGCTCTGGTCGTAAGAGTTACCAGCACCAGCACCAGCGCCACCACCCCCAGCCCAGGGCGCGGGAGCAGCTGAGTTGCTGTCGGCACGGTCGCCGCGGTTGTCGTTGCGCGCCCAGGGTGCAGCGCCGCCGGTTGGGCCTCGTTCCCAAGGCTTCAGGTTGTGCTCGCCCTCGCCGTAGCCGTCGCCGCCAGCACCACCAGCGTTGTATTCGATGGCTCCGCGAGGCTGTCCGCCCCCACCGCCCATCTCGGATAAGAAGGCATCGAGTTCGTTCTCGGGAGCTCCACCGATGCGGCCTTGTGGACGATCGCCGAAACGGTTGTCGTTACGCCACGGCTGTCCAACCTTGCGATCGGGACAATCGCGAGCCATGTGACCAGCTTGACCACAGACACGACAAATTATGCTGGCAGTGAAGTTCTGCTTTTGAGGACAATCGTACTTGCGATGGCCGATTTCACCGCAGTTCTGGCAGGCTTGGTTCTCGTCGTCACGAAGGGTACCGTTGAGGGCGGCAAGCTCGCGGAGCTGGTTGCGCTTGAGTTCGTTCTGGCCTTCGGGGATGGAAGCAGCCTAAACATGATTAGTATGAAGCTTTAGACTTGGATGTGGGAGTAACTTGCGGTCTCGATGACGTTATGGATGAGCTTTTTGGCCTTGTTGACCTTCTCCTCCGTGTCCGCCATGATCAAGCAGTGTAGATCTTCCTCCTGATTGCTGGTATGAGCTGCGTCAGAGCGTCCCTTGCCCTCCTTGACGGAGCCCTTGCCACGAATAGCAATCTTTGCGCCAGACTCAGACTCCATTTTCTTGAGGGTGTTTCCACGGGGTCCAATAAGTAATCCAACTGTTAGTGCGAAAAGCTGTAGTTAGTGTATGATCAAAGGTTGTATGAGCAAAGGGTTGGTAGGGTTAGTGACAGAGCTGTGCTGCAGGCTTCGCCAGATGCGCATAAGCACCAAGCAGTCTGAGCACGCTGGTCAAGACAAAGGCTAGGGTTGAAGGGGACTGAGAAAGGAAAGTTAGAGGGGTTAGTTCCGTACTGAAGTTAATTTCCGGGTAGTCATTGACTGGCACATAGACCTTCTCCTGTGTCTTAGTAGGCCTCCTGTAGTCGGCAGGTGGGTGGTAGTTAGGAAGCGTCTTCATGGCCTTCTCGACGAGTTTGTGGCGCTCGTCTTCGAGACGCTTGCGGTAACGGAACTCGCGCGTGTTGACACGTCGACCGAAGTTATCGTACTGAGGCGGCGGCGAAGGGGACCTGTTGCAGTCAGTACTGATTTCGTGCCGTGTGAACGTGTTGACGCTTACCTGTCGCCATCAGCTGGGACCACGTCGTTGATCTTCAGCTTCTGCGTAATCTCCTCGATACGCAAGTGCAAGGTGTAGGCATCAAGCTGCTCTGTAGTCATGGCCGAGTAGATAGCTGTGGGCAGACCCATCAGACCGGCAGCCTTGTTCTCGCTCGCATCTCCCCATCGGTTGCGCTTCTTGCGCTGCCTAGGGCCGTCGGGAGCTTTGGACAAGTCCTTAGTAAAAGTACGTGAGATGAGTCGGGAGAACTTACCTCGCTCTGGGCTGCGCCCACGCTTCAGCTCAGACAAACCTTCAGCCGGCGCAGAAGGGTTGTAACCTCCTGCATCGTCATCACCACCGAAGCGGCGTCGCGTGCCAAGGGGAATGTTGTTCGAGCCGGTGATGCCTTGGTTGCGCCACGACATGTTATTGACAGGTTGTTCGGTTGTCAATGGGGGTGTCGCGCGAAAGTGTTGGCGCGCAGCAAAAGCAGAGAGCTCTATCCATTTTAGCGTCGTCACGTGTCCACTGCGTTCACCTGAACGCACTTGATATCCATGTCGAATCTCACCTTTAGGCAACTGCAGGGAAGCGCATATTTTTGTGTGCCAGCTTTCATGTCCAGAGACTGTGTCGCAGCGGCCCATATAAGAACTGTGTCCGGCGCTCTCATGACTCTTCGACTTGGCAAAAGGTGCAGTGTCCACGGATAGGCAAAACACGCGCACATTTACTTTGCTGTTGTTTAAGCTCTTTTACCGAGGATATAGCCTCCAGCATGAGCTCGGTAAGATCATGAACAGGTCCTCAGACAGCCTCTCGAGCTTGAAGGCCCTGTCTCACAAACGCGGGCTAGACTCAGTGGCCCGAATGATTGTCAGTCATTCATTGGGAGCATTTCTAACATGTTTGTAACAAGCACATGCCCGCTTTCATAGTACGCTGAGTCGACTGGTGTGTGGTAAGTCTTGTATACGACCGCAATTTCTAAGCAAGCTCGTAATACCCCTCATCAAACCCCACTTTATCTTCATATAAAGTCTCCGAGTGTCCGCAAGGTATCATCACATGTACTCACAAAGTAGCATACGAGAAGTAGAAAATTTCATCATGGCAGCTCAAGGATCAGACATCGTCCTCTACACAACACAGACGCCCAATGGCATCAAGATCTCCATCACGCTAGAAGAGCTTGGGTGAGTACAGACCTCGGTATCTACTGGGCATGTCACTGAGAGTTGTAGTCTTCCCTACAAGGTTGAGAAAATCGACATCAGTAAGAACACACAGAAAGAAGACTGGTTCCTTGCCATAAACCCTAATGGCCGCATCCCTGCCTTGACCGACAAGTTCACCGATGGCAAGACCGTCAACTTGTTCGAGTCTGGAAGTATCATGCAGTACCTGGTCGAGCGCTACGATACTGAGCACAAGATCTCGTATCCTAAAGGAACTCGCGAATATTACGACACGAACAACTGGCTGTTCTACCAGAACGCCGGTGTTGGACCTATGCAGGGTCAAGCAAGTAAGTGGTGTTTCAAGCCTGTCAGAAGTGCTATCAAAAGAATAGCTGGAAGCAGTGGCAACATGAATAAGAAATAGTCATGAGAGAGCACAAAGCAAGCAAGCAAGGGCCTTCGTCGACCATACGTTACTGGAAGCTTCGGCGCCTCTGAGCATCAAGTCTCCGACGTAGTGCTTGAGGACCGCTCTTCTGCATGATGTGTGGACACAGCCTCAGCAAAATCTATTGTCGCAGGGTTAGATCTGAACCAGGAAGAGGCGTCCTCGACTACAGGTCGCAGCGTTCGAGGTGGCAGAGCTGATCGTAGATTAGATCACTTCGGCCGCTACGCTCCCGAGCGCATCGAATACGGAGTAAGCCGTTACGTGAACGAGACACGCCGCCTGTACTCCGTCATCGACAAGCATCTTGCTTCTGATAAGCGACCGTACCTGGTAGGCGACAAGTGCACGATTGCCGGTACGTACTTCTACACTTGACTGACCCTGAATTCTCCGCATGCGAGTCCTAGGTCCTGATATCACTTCACCACTTTGCCTTTCGGCTACACACTGACAATCCTTAGATATCGCGCACTGGGGCTGGGTCGCAGCTGCGGGTTGGGCAGGCATCGAGATCGATGACTTCCCGAACCTCAAGGCGTGGGAGGAGCGCATGGCTGAGCGCTCTGGCGTTGAGAAGGGACGCCACGTTCCGGATCCGCACAAGATCAAGGAACTACTTAAAGACAAGGCCAGGATGGAGAAGTCCGCTGCAGATGCTCGCAAGTGGATACAGGCTGGCATGAAGGCAGACGGCGAAAAGTCTGGCAAGTAAGTATCATGTTTCACGATCTGATAGCCATGAAGAGATAATGGAGCTGCGATCGGAATTATCAACTCAGGGAACACAGTCACGAGGCTGTTGATAGGAGGTTGTCGTTCATGCGCGCTCGTGCGCATATGTTAAGGGCGCGACGGTAGTCGACGATATGTTAAGGGCGCGACGGTAGTCGACGGAGCTTTGCCCTTGCTGACCAAATATTCCGCCAGACTATAGACTCTCCGAATGCGAATCTGATTTGATGATGTGAGACCAGCGCCTCGAGTATTGATCATATGGAGACCACGGTCCGTACCGCATCTAAACCGTTTAGTATGCACCGCTGATCATGCCTCAATCAAGACAAAGTGCAGTCAGGGATAGCGAAAATCAGTCCCCAATGTATGGTATGAAAGGCATAGCGATGACTACTATGTACATACGAGCTTGTGTCCCGCGATTCATTCGAGAATCCGATCGACTGGTTCGGTATGTGACTTAGAGCTCGTTTCTTGATTCCAGAAGATGATGAAACTGATGTCCGGCTACTAGCTGCCGGGACTTGTTCCGACACGGCGCACCTGTTTCCCGTCTAGGTATCTGAGACATTGGAAAAACGTCTACCTGGTTTCGGGCCATGTGCGTGGCCAATGAGGGATTTTGGAGCTTCACCGCAGCCGCCATGCCAGACCCTGTTGAGTTCGCTCGTGGATACAATGTGGTGAACATTGGAGCACATCACCGCCATCTGTGGCGTACCATCGTTCGGCAGTCAAACTCGGACTTTGACCCAGAGTTTTGCTTTGGGAGCATGATTTCTTATTGAGTCTGAACTGATCGCTAGTACCTACCCCTGTGCATACTTGCCTTGTGAGCGTCAAGTTAAAGGGGGACCAGTATTCCTGCAGCTTGTGATCGGTGGATCCGATGCATCGTTAGCACTGATCTGGCTTTCTTCATGCCTCTGTGGCGCTTTTTTTCCATCTATGTTGCGGCAGACGTAGCCGCTGTACGTATCGATGGAAGACTGCGCTGAGTTGTTTGTTAGCTAGGAGGCGACCATATATACATACCCTGAGACGTGCTAGTCCAAGGAAGTCGACAGAGGTGACGATCAAGGCCTATAGGACCGACTTGCACCGCAACAATCTACCATAGTATATCTGAACTTCTCGAAGTATCATATGAGTCTTAACGCATGCATTATAACCCTCTTCCCTGTCAGACATACGACGAAAATTGGTGCATGATCTTGGCCACCGTGGTTGGCTTGCCTAAAATTCGCTTGAAAGTCTCTAGGCGCTGCTCGTGGTGGTGACTTAGACTTTCGATGCCCAGTAGTGCAGTGCTTCACCGTCGCACTAGTCATACCCATAATAGGTTCAAGGTCAACGTTTTCCTCTTATCGAGGCGAACACATAGGCGTATCCACACGGTGTAGGGTATATAACACGAATGTAAGTTGTGGTGGGCCACGAGTACAATCTACTTAGGTATTATGAAGGCATCCGCTGAGCCGAATTGTCCGACCGGGGATGCATATGTCTTATTCCAGACCGAAGACGCTTCAGTGGCTCAGGCGACGTGGACCTTCCTTCCTTCCTTTTCTGTGCTTATTTTCACTGAGGTAGATCATCTGTCGCCGCATAGTGAGTGGATCGTGAGGTACCGGGCATAAATGCAAGTGCACTCTCGCTGCCACCGAGAGTCGAGCGACGATACTGCTGCGTGCTGTAAAGCCGCGGACGGCCCAGCAATTTGGGGACTGCAAAATTACATTGTTCCATGACCTACGAACAGGCAAGTCTGTCGAAGAGCGTCAGAGCTGCAAGCTGCGGAGATCTGACGAGGCAGGTAGTGCAGGTGGTTGGGGCAGCGTCAGCCCCACTGTAAGAGAAGAGAATATGATGTTCTCTGGTGGTGAGCTGACTGGTCTGGCAGAGCCACATCTTGGCGTTTGTTTGGGGATGGAGAATGGATCAGCGGTGGGGAGCTTTTGGGCGCGAAGGCGAACTATGTCTAACCATGTTGCGGAGTCAAGTGCAAACGTAAAACGAGTGTGTGCGAGGTTTTAACATTCTGCTTGTGAAATGCAATTCGAGTATCGAATGATCAGAGCGCGGAGTGGAGGATGCATGCTCCTGCGACGGAACGTTTCACCCGGGTTCTTGATTGGACAACCGCCCGGCTGCGGCTCAAACCTGAGGGGAAGGCCTTTGCTCTGAACATTCAGAGATGCATCCGTATGCTCGCTGGCATTCGTGGTCAGATCCTAGGCTGGCATGTCCAAAAGTCTCGGACATGGGCCTGGAGTTGCACAGGGGGATCTACGGAGGCAACTATAGGGGGACGTATAACTGTGGAGGGGCACATAAGCAAGACATATATGCGCTAGGTGCGCGAAGGAAACCCTCCCCTTTCAGCATACCTACTATTGCTAATCTTCTAGACTTGCAAAGAACGAGACCCTGTGCGCTTCCCTTCCTCCTCTCTAGAGACACACGTAGTATGTCCTTCATGTGAACATCCGCCCCAAGAATTGTCTGCCGAGGTGCTGTAAGGGAGAAGGTCAAAAGTACTCTGATCTCTGGTTTAGGGTGGCGCGAAAACGCGAGGGGGCCTAAAAATGACGCCGGCCAATGTACGAGACTTCAGAGTATGTGGGTGTTTACTATTACACTACGGCTGAGCTTCTCGAAGGGTCGCAATCATGCAGTTGGCGATTCCGAGGTCAGTCACCAGCAATTGAGGCCGACGCCGATCAACTTGCGCGTCCCTACCTGCTTCTCGAATCGGTTGCGACGTTCGCGTGTTGGCGCCAGGACCAATACATGTTGAAGTAGGAGTAAGCATCGCAGACCGGTAGAGCACCTAAGCTTTTGGCGTACCTCCTGTGTGAGAGCGACGGCAATGGATGCGATGGAGTTTGACACGTGCATATTCTTGAGCTAGTCTTCAGAATTCATAGCTGCCGATGTGGACGTCCTCCAGGACGAAAATACTTCGAACGTCAGGGCGGGCCCGGTGCCGTTGTGATGGGCTACACCCGCAGATGCTCAGCGTGCTGTGGCAGCGCGGGAACGATCGTTTGGTGACTCTGTTTCATGGGTCGCATTACTCTAACGCCCTGACGTCTGCCACTTCGGTAGGTGAGCGTTTCCGGAATCTGAAAACAAGGAAGAGCGGTCTCAGGGACCACCCAGCGCAACTCACCGCCAGGCTGGTGACCAAGTCTCCGGGTCAAAGGAAGGACGAGGCAAATCTTAAGATCATTGCAACAATTATGCCGTAGAAGCCACAAATCTGGGGTAAAGCCAGGCACGCCTACTGTGGTATGGGCGGAAGCGACAAGCGATGCGGAAAATGGCGCTAGCCGAACATGCTTTGTCTTGCGGGGCTCCGTGACTTTAGGCTAAAGTGCCCGGATGAAGTGCATCCTGACTTCTGCCGACAGTGAATGCCCCAGGATCGACGAGCCACGTCCTATGAAAACGCTTCTGGAATTAGTGGGTAGCGCCTGCTGCGTTTTCGCACGTAGGCTGACATCGCTTCTCGAACGCATGGAAACTGTCAGAGCGCAGGTGACGCTGGCCGTGAAAGCACGGCCTCCTTCCCGTCCTAGTGTCCATGTTCGGACCTCCTCCTCGGCAGAGCTCTGATCGGAGGCCCACATATGCTTTCGACCATCGCATGACCGGTCTTCCCCAGACCGTTCCCTTACCTTATCATCGAAACCAACGTTCCACCGGTTGACTAGCTACCATGGAGCCCACTGCGGTTGATATGTCCAAGATGGAGCGCAGGAGTTCCGCGGCTGTCAAGAGAAGGGTGAGCAGGGCGTGCGACCATTGCCACCGCATGCGTACACGTTGTAATGGTAACTTGATCCTATCCTCACGGAAGACAATTACTGAATCTGTACCTCTTGTAGGACAGGCGCCCTGCTCCAGATGCATAGGTACGTAATCCATGGCTCACCTTCCTTTAACAACCAGGCTGACAACATGAAGAACTCGAATATGTGTGCCAGTACAATAGAGAAAAGAAGCGTCGAGGAAAAGTTGGCATTCTTGTTTTCAGGTGTTGACCCGGCGGTACTAACTGACTCAGGTACCAAGACACATCCAGAAACAAAGGGAGGCAGAGGCAGCTGCCTCACATAGCCCACAGACACCAAACGAACTTCAGGTCGCGCCAAGAGGTCTCTTCGAGAGACCCGGTGTCTTGACTGAGATCGAAGATGAAGGCTGGTCGCAGTCAGAGCCAACGCCAGTGACGCAACACTTTGTTGCTGGCGGCAAGAGCAATCTCCAGCACCCCGCAGAATGGCAGAACTTCAATCCTGGTAAGCTTAGGCTGAGCAGTAATCTTGCTGTCGTTGTCGCTAATATTGCGTGCAGGCGCGCCTTTTGACCCGCCGGTGACACACATGATGATCGACCCACTGCTGCTAGGCTCCATGCACGCCGAAATACCACGCAACGAGGAGTTGATGTACGCTATGAGCGGACTGGCACCAATGCCAGCAGAGTACGCTAACATCGGGTATCCTCTGCCGTTTCAAGCACCTCGACCATCATCGCCACCACACAGTTATGGCTCTGCAGAGACCGGATCACCACAGTCTGGAATAAGCGTGAACTCATCGCAAGCTGGTGCGAGAGTAATGTGCAGGTATCCAGTCTTGAAGCCACTCTTCCCACACCTTAGTGCTATTATGACCATCTCCGCTGCCTGCGACCTCCTCGAATACTACTTCCAGAGCTCATCGTCGGTCTTCATGGAGCCAGTATCGCCTTACATCTTGGGGACCGTGTTCCGGAAACGCTCGTTCTTACGCCAGCATAAACCCAGGAAGTGCAGTCCTGCGCTGCTTGCCAGCATCCTCTGGGTCGCTGCTCAAACAAGTGAGGCCACTTATCTGACATCTTCGCCATCAGCAAGAGCGATCATATGTCAAAAGCTGTGGAAGTTGACGGTTGACCTACTTAGGCCTTTGGTCCACTCTCCTGCCACACGAACTCATGGTCTCGGTCGTGGTGGAGTCACTTCAGCAGGCCAAGACACATTTAACGTAGAACGAGCCATAGGACGATACGATGGACGGATGGACGGCGCCATGCCCCCTACTAGCAACCTGGACGACGTAGCCACCTATCTCAACTTAGGAGTGGTGACTTCGGCGAGCGAGTATAAGGCAGCGTCACTCCGATGGTGGAATGCTGCATGGTCGCTTGCACGAGAGCTGAAGTTGGGAAGGGAGTTGTCTGCAGACCCTGTAAAAGTCAGCGATGGACAAACAACCAAGAATGGCGAGATGGACGTGAGCACACCGGCCGCAGCGCTTGTGGAAGAGATGAAGGAAGAGAGACGGAGACTTTGGTGGCTGCTCTACATGATCGATCGCCATCTTGGACTCTGCTACAACAGGCCTTTGGCCATGCTCGACAACGAATGCGAGGATCTATTCCAGCCTGTTCCGGACACAGTGTGGCAAGCCGGCGAATTTTACACTGGTCACCAGGGGCAGAAGAGGAAAGGTCTTAACTTCCAGTGTACCTCGCACGACGTTTTCGGATTCTTCCTACCGCTCATGACGATTTTGGGCGATATCGTGGACCTGAACGCACAGAAGAACCATCCCAGATTCGGTCAGCGCACATCCTGGGAGCTTCATGAAGCGGAGATTACACGGCAGCTCGAAAGCTACGCATATAGTATCGAAGACTTTAAGGCCCAGCACGGCTGTGGACAGAACGACGATGTCAATGCCAACGGAACACCTGACGCGATTCGCATGGAATGGATCCACCAGACACGAAAGATTTCCGCCTACGCAACACACATTATGCACGTTCTACATATCCTGTTGCACGGCAAATGGGACCCAGTGGCACTCCTCGAGGACGACAACATGTGGATTTGCTCGCCTTCGTTCCTCGCTGCGACTTCGAACGCCATCTCCGCTGCGCACGCAATTGAAGAGATACTAGATCTCGATCCCGATCTCTCATTTATGCCTTATCTGTTTGGCATGTATCTGTTGCAAGGAAGCCTCATTCTCCTCCTGCTCGCCGACAAGCTGTCCACCGAAACCAACGATGGCGTAATCCGAGCTTGCGAAACTATTGTTCGTGCACATGAAGCTGCAGTGGTCACGCTTAACACTGAGTACCAGGTAAGTCGATCGGCCCCTTCCCGTCATCCTTGTGCAATACTGACTCTGATTCAGAGAAATTTCCGAAAGGTTATGATCTCAACACTCGCGCAGATTAAGGGCCACGGGCATGCGCGAGAGATGACGCCTGCGAAACGCCGAGAAGTTCTCTCGTTGTATCGATGGACCACTTTGGGCAACGGTCTCGCAATCTGAGCCCGGCAGTTCGGGTGCTACGAGCGAGAGGAGGCGTACAGGGGTGGATGATACGATGACATTTTGCATGCACACTTTACAAGCGACGTAATACATTTTTGCGGACAGCAGAACGACTGATGAGTACAGTTTTGATACCAGCTTCGGAAAAGGATACTATAGGGAGCGGGTAGCGCAATGATACCACTTGAGAGTCTATTTCAGGAAGCAAACAATATACTTTCGAACTTAACTCCGCTGTTAAGCGTCACTTTACTCTAGAACAAGTCGTACCATACCCCTCGACCTCTGTGACACTTAATAGCGCAGCTTCCAATCAGCACAGGTTCAGGGATCGCTTTAATCAAACACATATGGAGGCAAGGACGCTGGAGCGCGGCACGGAAACGGATAGAGGTCAACGGATAGACTGAACGGAAAGAAGTACACGGGGATGGGGACGGCGGGATGGCAAAATGCAATTACTGACAGTGGGGCATGTGAGTAAGATGTGTTTCAGCTTGCTCTGACAGATTTTCAACCATTATTGATCGTGACAAGCAGCACCTGACAAGTGTGAACAAGGGCCCAGAGAATGTGACGCTCGCGGAGAGCGCCTTGTACATGCTCGGTATCATATCCTGTAAGGTCAGGTAGAGAAGATAAAGGAATTATTTGAACAATCACCTACATTTATCATGCTTGAAAACTAGACAGCTCCAGCTTGGATCAGGACTCGCGGTCAACAAGTGACGCACGGTTATCGCTGCAGAGGTCGTCGAGTCATCAAGATGAGGTTTCCCAATAGAATCTCTCCCCAATCCTGATCATCATAGGCGAACAGCGTAGTGTCGGCGATGCTGTAATTGCGACCCAAAATTCACCCTCGACCCTACTGAGTCCGATACATCTTCACCCTATCTAGCCTAGACTGTCCGCTCTGCGTATATACTGAGAAACTCAGCAAGATTCGAAGTCAGCATCTACAACAATATTTGGCCGCCCTCCGTCTTGTCATCAATAGTTATGGAGCGCCTTCCAGGACCGAAAATTAGAACAGGATGATACTCGACTCTTTCGCAACGGTACCATCATCGAGCTTGAGCGCCAAAACCTTGCGATTAGGGACTGACTGTGGGTAAAAACAGTCTTTGGAACTTGGAACGTAGCGTGAGAACACTGCGTATGTTGTCTCAGGTGGGTAGAGCCGTATGTGCACATTATAGGCGTTACCCAAAGGGATAGTGCTGCCGTAGAGGGCATATTGGAGGCAAAGAGGGTAGTCCTTGCCTTCGCATACGTGATTTGTATTTGAAGTGAAGCCATAAGCAAGACTTTAGTGGTTTCATGCCCTGCGCGTTTTCAAGAGCTGACTGCACCTGGCGATCTGGTCAACAAGGGGGCCATGAACACCCGACTTTACACTTGATTCACAATCACATCTCTTATACTCATAATCATATCTCTTATACCTGAGACACCAAAGACGATACTTACAAGCTTTATTGCGATACCAACTGGTTATCCAAGCAGTTGTGCCACGGGATACAGGCTCAGAAAGTCAACATGTAGCACGGAGTTCGACAGGCGAGGCCCCAGGGTTTATGATACAACTTTCGATTTTGACTGATCATATACACGATGAACTTCGTAAATGCATGAGAATATTTTGACCTGCCCAGTTACTGAGGTAGATACCAAGCATTCACAGGCTGTTCTCGATCTCCATGATCTCCTTGATCCCGTCCGCAACAGCTTGTGTCTTCTCCTTCGACAGCCTCTTTAGCGGCCTCCTGGGATATCCACCATAGCCGAAGTAGCTCTGGATTGCCGACTTCGTACCAGGAATGGCAGCTTTTGTCAGAACCCAATCGCCCTTGCTGAGCTTCTTCTGAAGCTCGAAAGCCTCCTCAAGCTTGCCCTCTGCGCACAGGTTCCAGACCTTGACGCAAGTCTTAGGGAGGACATTAGCACCACCGGCGATGATACCAGAACCGCCGCATGCGGCTGTGTGTGCTGTGAAGTCTGCAATACCGCCAAGAGCCATGTAGCCGCTCCCTGTGCTCTTGGTGGAGACAGCGTCGAGGGCATACGCAACACGGGTCAGCTTTCCTGTGCTGCCGCAGGTGAACTTTGTGCCGACAATGTTGGGGTGTTTGCCAAGCTTGATGAGCAGGTCAGAGTCGATGTCAATTCCAGAAACAGCACCGGGGTAGTTGTAGATGATGATGGGAAGAGGCGAAGCGTCGGCAACCTTAGTGAAGTACTCCTCGATGGCTTCCTCGTCGATAGCATAGCGGTAGTAAGAAGGTGGGACGGTCAGGATGTATTCACCACCAGCTGCCTCGGCCTCCTTGGCGAGTTCGATTGTGAGCTTGATGCCGTGTTCTGAAGCACCAACAATGACAGGAACGTCTTTGTAGCCAGCCTCATCGAGAGCTTCACGTGTTGCTCGTGTGACAGTCTGCTTCTCTGCGCGGGAAAGGTGGACAGCTTCGCCGTTGGAGCCCATCGTGACAAGACCAACCAGGCCGGCCTCAGCGAGGCGGACAGCGTGCTTCTTGATTGTTTGCACGTCGAGCTCTTCTGTTTCAGCGTCGAAAAAAGTCATTGTGGGCGAATAGACACCAGCACGTAGAGGCGTGCGCTCCTTCTTGACGCCATTGCCGTTCGCAGACATGATGAGAGTGATATCTGTGGTGGTCTATTTCGAATATAAGGACACACGAAGGAGAAGAAGAAGAAGAGGTGAAGCAGTAGGAGGGGCAGTGTCAAGGTATGTGTACGGGCTCGGTCAGCATTAATATATCAGCGAAATGGTCGGCGGAAGTAGCCCGGAGAGCCCAAAGACATCCCACCTTCAGTCGCGCCTCTCTCCATTGCTCTAGGAAATTCAACGTTTCGTCAAATGCAGGCCTTCCATTCGCTGAGCAGACCAATACTATGGGGACCGCAGCAGCGAGAGCGAATCGAAGGCCGGATCTGGGGCCGCCTGTCGATTTCGGGCGACATCTGCGCGAAATGCGGGACTACTCACTGTGGGGTGACTAACTTGACGCCTTCTGTGTGGAAGCAATTCTGGTTGTGGCAGGGTTCTGGACTGTGGCTCAGGGTGGGATGTCCTCGAGATTCGGAGCTCGGAGAAACTCTGGTGATTCCTCCACCAATGATAGCAGAGATAGCAGAGCTGCTCGCGTGGGGTGCATCATGCGCGACTTCCCAATTCCCTTGGCCTGGGGAAGAGCATTGGCGTCATCCTGTAAACACGATGAGCGTGTTAACTTCTGCGTGCAACAACATGATGTTCACAGGGCACTCGACGCGGTCCTTGACAGCATTGGACGCGTTGGCGATCAAACTGGTAGCTGTCCCCGCGCCGCCCGACTTCTCGGAGCCGCCATTATGACCAGACGCGCCCCGCTGCCGTTCAATGGGCCATTCAAACGTCATGCCGGCCGCGGGAAACGGCAAAATCATGCATGTCTGTCAGCCGTCCAACAAGCCCCTCGTGCCCCCTTTATGCATTGAATCGTGCTAATAGATGGTAAAATTATTCCGTTCAGACGCCGAAGGAGCCGACGAGCTGTTATGCATTGTCTGGAAGCCTTCCCCAAGAATCGCCTCATTAGACTTTCCTTCTTCTCGAAACTCGGGAGTGGAAGTGAACCTCAATTGATCTTTCTTCAACCAAAGAACAGCAGAAAACAGTAGCAACATGGCGCCTCCAGCGGTTCTGATGGTACGTTACCCCACATTGGCGCAACAGCTTGTTCGGAGCTCTCTGCAGCGTTCGGCAGCTGAGAAGCTGCTGGACACGAGTCGACAACTTGTTGAGCCGACTGAAAGTTTCAAGAAAAGCTAACGAGCCGCGTAGGTTGGTACTGGGGAGTACACGACCGGCTTTGTTGGCGGCGGCGCTTCCAAGTCAGATAAGAAAGTTGGTGTTGTAGGCTTGACGCTCTTTGACCTGCGACGACGCGGCAAAGTTGGTGACCTGTCCATGGTCGGTGTGTCTGGCGGCAAATTCCCTGCCATTCGTGAGTCAATGCCCTGGAAACGGCTAAAGAGCTTCTTACTGACGTTTGCCAGGCGAGCATCTTCAGAAGAACATTTCCGAGGCATACAATGGCCTCGATGTTTCCTTCGACGAGTTCCCCAAGGAGGGCAAGACCGACCCTGATGCGTACAAGACCGCCATTGACGCTCTTCCCAAGGGCAGCGCCAGTGAGTTGAGGCAAATGATGACGTTGCGAAGATTGAGCTGAACAAACAAAGTTACTATCTTCACCCCTGACACAACTCACTACCCAATCGCTCTGTACGCTATCGAGCGTGGCATCCACGTTTTGATCACGAAGCCAGCGGTCAAGCTACTCAAGCACCACCAGGAGCTCCTGGTAAAGGCTAAGGAGAACAATGTCTTTGTCTACATTGAGCATCACAAGCGTTACGACCCTGCCTATGCGGATGCACGGTTTAGAGCTCAAAAGCTTGGCGACTTCAACTACTTTTACTCGTATATGAGCCAGCCGAAGAGCCAGCTGGAGACCTTCAAAGCCTGGGCCGGAAAGGACAGCGATATCTCCTACTATCTCAACTCCCATCACATCGACGTCAACGAGTCGATGGTCCCTGGCTACAAGCCCGTTCGTGTCATGGGCAGCGCAGCAAAGGGCATTGCGACAACTCTTGGCTGCGACCCTGCCACTGAGGACACAATTACACTTCTCACAGACTGGGTTAAAAAGGATGATCCCAGCAAGCGTGCGACAGGTGTCTACACAGCTGGTTGGGCAGCACCGCAGAAGGCTGGTGTTCACTCGAACCAGTACTTCCACTACATGTCCTCGTCTGGAGAGATCCGTGTCAACCAAGCCAAGCGTGGCTACGACGTCACTGATGACGAGACCGGTCTTCTCTGGTACAACCCGTCAGTATTATGACCACTGATTATTTTGGTATGATGTGCTAATAATTTTTAGCTTCTACATGAAGTACGCTCCTGACGAGGAGGGCAACTTCGCTGGTCAGATCGGCTACGGCTACATCTCCTTCGAGAAGTTCATCGACGCCGTCAACCTGCTCAACGATGGCAAGGTCACACTCGACCAGCTCGATTCGCGCCCGCTGCCCACACTCAAGAACACCATTGCCACAACTGCCATCCTCGAGGCTGGGCGGAGATCGCTGGACGAGAATCGACCCATCGAGATCGTCGAGGAGAATGGTGTCTGGTCGCTGAAGTAAGCATGTCATGTTCGCTAGCATTAATGAATGAAACGATACACACCCAATGTACCTGATCGACCGTTTAGTGAACAGACACTATCCCTTCTATAGTTTGCGAGATATGGCTCCCGGATCGACGGCGCCACTATGCATGAACGCAGGGTTCACGTCGATCTGACATCGTGCCGAAGAGCATGCTAATTCGGGGGCACGTGCACGAGCAGGCGGTTGACTTGCAGTGGTGGGTTGCGGACAGGGCCGCAGAGCCTTTGTGAGTCGTGACATGTCCAGTGTGCCGGTAAAGTAGCCCCTGCTCGGATCTCGTGCTTCATAGATCCACAGGACCCGGTCTGACGAGTTTTAGGGCCTGTTCATACGCACTCGGTCTCGATTCGTCCTGCTTCGGGCTGGAGTACTCCGACTCGGGTCCACATCACCCGAGGACGCGGAGAGCTCTATCTTGTGATTGACGGTGGCCGAAAACTGTGATCCTGGACGTCGTGCACGTACAATCTTAGTTGACTTACCGATACACTCCGCAGTCGCGCCTGACGAGTTGACAGGCTCACTGCATACTGCTACAAGCATCGTACAACGCTGAACATCCCGAATTGAAGACGGTTGGAGCATCTCACCCTCCATGAATGTGATCGACGCATGGCAGACCACGGCGGTAGGAAGCTATGTTTCGTCAGTCCTTGGAGCCCCGATTATCTTGTTTCCAATTTGCGAGTTCCCGAGTCACAATCCAAATCCGGTCGAGCGTAGTTGCAGATAGACCACCCACGTTCAAAGGAGGCCCCGCGACCCGTCTCTATGTTCAGACCAACTAGAAGATCATGGATCAACTACCATCATCAACAATGGTTTAACGCTCTGGACTGTCGATCACCGTGGCACGCCACCAGGGTTTTCTCTGTCACTACTAGTGAGCAGCTACGAGACAGAAGTTCATCTTTTCGTGCCACTTTTACCAATGGCAAGGCATAATGTTCGGCCGTTTGTAAGAATAACTACGACGGTGCTCATGCGGCGCAGTCGACTGCTTGGTGGTGCACTGTCGAGGGCTGTTGTCGTAGTGAGGGCAGCGACCATTTTCGGAAGATCCATGCGATATTGGCATAGGCGACCTTCTCTAGGACCAAGCATCGCCAAACAATTAGGTGCAATGTTTGTGAATAACGTACTCCACAAGCGAGTGGCTCACAGCCTCACACAAGCGAGTGGCTCACTTTTGCCAAGACCACACCAAACTTCACTCTACCTACAATGCCTCAACGTAACAACACAATCAAACCCTTAAAGGAAGCAGGAATACAGCTTGCTCTTCAGGCTATCTATCAAGACGCGACACTCTCTCAGCGACGCGCTGCAGCCATCTACAATGTGTCTCAAAGGACACTTAGTCACCAACTTGCTAGAACCTCTCCACAACGCGATTGCAAGCCTAACATAATATCGTAGACAACAGCACGTGGGAGTCTAAGACACTAAGCAACACCCTAGAATTTAGGTCTTAATCAAAGCTAATTTAAGAGAGGATCTAGAGACACGCTAATAGCTTACTAACATTAATAGTTAACGCCCTTAATTAGCTTACTAAAGGCGCAGAGCTAATGGCGCATTTACTAGTTTTAGTGCGTAACTAGGTTACTAACCTTTAGGTAGCTAATAAGGCTACTATATGCTGTAAATCACACAAAAGAAAGTAATTATAGCAAGATAGGGTATTAACCTTTGCTAAGGGAGTGCAGCTAACTACTCTAAAGGAGTTTAAGGCCTGTAGTAATAGGAAGAAGGCAAAGAAGAGAGGAGGTGCTAATAGCAGCACTTAGTTATTAAGACACTATAGCATGTGTGGCAAGGCAGGGCACAACAGGACAACGTGTAAGAAAGATGCGCAAAGTACTATAGATTAGTGCAATATACTGTGTAGTACATGATATTGTTGTTGTGTGCTGTAATGTTGTAAAGTAGTTGTAGTGTTGGTGTAGTCTTGGCAAAAGTGAGCCACTCGCTTGTGTGAGCCACTCGCTTGTGGAGTACGTTATTGTAAAGGTAATTAGAGACCTACTAATAAGGTATATTTAACACTCTAGCAGTGCTACAGATACTATAAAATTAGCTAGCATAGAAGGCCTAGATAGTAAGAATAACTCTACCTTCTCTAGTAGAATTCTAAAGTTATTATTATTAAGGCATGTTATGTTAGGGTAAATGGTATTTATGCTAAGAGAAAATGGCTAGTTTAGTGATATAGCTGGCTTGGTGATAATCTACGTTATTAGGTTCTGTGTTGTTGTGTTGCTTGTCTCTTTGTGTAGTAGTCTGGCCAAAGGCCAATAAATGATAACGTACCCCACGGGCGAGCGAGCGAGCCAACGGGCGAGGGAGCCACTTTTGCCAAGCCCCTACCAAAGTACCCTTTCTATACCAATGTCTCAACAACAACCTATTATTAACGCGTCTCAAGAAGCTCAGGTACAGCTTGCGCTTCAAGCTCTTAAACAAGACGCGAATCTCTCCCAGCGACGCGCTGCAGCTATCTATAAAGTGCCTCAAAGCACGCTAAGCTATTAACACACTAGACAACCTTTATAAGGCGATACTATGCCTAACTCACGAGGATTAGATAATAATAAGGAGAGGGTAATTGTTAAGCACATACTTGAGCTAGACGCGCAAGGATTTGGCCCCCAGCTTGCAGATGTGGCTGCTATGGCCAATTCTCTGCGCGCTGAGCGCAATCTGGGCCCTGTTGGCGTAAACTAGCCTAGTACGTTTGTTAAGCGTTAACTAGAGCTTAAAGTAAAGTTTAATCACAAGTATAACTACAAGCGAGCCCTCTGCGAGGATTCAGGGGTTGTGCAGGGCTAGTTTAGCCTAGTAGCCAACATTAAAGCTAAGTATAGCATCTAGGATAACAATACCTACAACTTTAATAAGACAGGCTTTATAATAGGCTAGATCTCCTTAGGAGCAGTTGTTACAGCTTTAGAGAGACTAGGAAGGCTAAAAACAGTCTAGCCAGGCAACTAGGAGTGGACAACAGTTATACAGGGCATTAATATAAAAGGATAGGCTATTCTGCCCTTTATTATCTTTAAGGCACGCCACTACCTCTCTAGCTAGTACAAGGAGGAAGACCTGCCCTAGGATTAGGTTATTAGAGTCTCTAGTAATAGCTAGACTACTAATAAGCTTAGTCTTAAGTAGTTAAAGCACTTTAACGCGCATACAAAGGGGTGAGCTGTTAGTACCTACTAACTGCTAGTTATTAATGGCCACAAGAGCCACAACTTGCTCTAATTCTAGCAATATTGCAAGGATAACAAGATTGTTACTATATGTATGCCTCTGCACTTATCACACCTCCTACAGCTACTTAATGTGGGTTGTTTTGCCCCTTTAAAGCTAGCGTATAGGCGCTAAGCTGAAATGCTTATGCACAACTAGATCACCCACCTTACAAAGACTAAGTTCCTCCTATGCTTTAAAGTAGCCTACAATGTAGTGTTTACTCCTAGCAATATCTAAGGAGGGTTCTAAGGTGCTAGATTAGTCCCCTTTAACCTAGAATAGGTTATTTTAACCCTTAATATAAAGCTGCAGACTCTATTACTACCACTCCCTACTAACAGCAAGCCCTAGCAGTTGCAAACCCCTAGTAATACCCTAGAATTTAGGTTGCAATTAACTCTAATTTAAGAGAAGTATAAGAAGCAGCAGGGTAGCTTACTAGACTCTGTTCTAAGCGCGCTTAAGCACTACGCAAAGGGGGGAGCAATTTTATCCTACAAGCTAGTTTTGGCCTAACAGGAAATTAGCAAGCTTTAAGCAGCT